CCTAAAACACAAGCCAGCAAGCCAATTACTAATTCACAGTGAGAACTCTAGCTGCTGAAGGGTCCATATTTTGGTATTTTTAATTATAAATACATTTTCACCATGTAGGAAAATCTAATATTAATCAGAAATATTGGTGAGTACTTGGACCCAGGAAAAGTGTGGTTAATTTTAAAGATTCTTTTGTTATTAAATTTTAATTAACTTATTTTAAGATAGATAATACACACACATGGCAAAGGTACAAAGTGTATCAAAAATTTTCAATGAAAAGTCAAACTTCCTTTCATCCCTTGTGCCCAACCCCAGAAGTGCCGTTCTCTTGGAAGATCATAGTGCACAGTGTCTCTGTATTAGTTTCCTGTTAACAAATGTAACAAATTACCATAAACACAGTGGTTTAAAACAACACAGATTTCTTATCTTATAGTTCTGAAGGGCAGAGGGCCTAAAATCAAGGTGCTGGCAGGGCTGCGTGCCTTCTGGAGGCTCTAGGGGAGAATCCATTTCCTTGCCTTTTCCAGCTTCCAGAGGCTGCCTGCATTCCTTGGCTTGCTGTTCCTTTCGCTGTCTTTAAAGCCAGCAGTGTAGCGTCTTCAAATCTCTCTCACTCTGACCTCTTCTTCCACCATCATATCTCCTCTCTGACTTTGACCTTTTTACCTCCCTATTTTAATGACCCTTGTGATTATATTGGGCCCACTGGATAATCCTGGATAATCTTCCCATCTCAAGATCCTTAACTCAGTCCCATTACAGTCTCTTTTGCTATATAGGGTAACATATTCACAGGTTCTGAAGATTAGGATGTGGACACCTTCGGGTGTCATTTTTCTGCCTACCATAGTCTCCAAACTATGTTTGAGAGAAAAATGATTCATTCTTCTTCTCTAGACCCAATTAATAATGTATTCTTAGTAGTAAAACATTTATTTATAATTTTTCACACATACCTCCCCACTAATATGTACGTTTTGAAATATATCGCTTCCAAATAAATGATTAAAGGATGAGATTCAAATAAATGTAAATAGAAGTTCTCTTTTTCCCCACACCCAGTGGATGGCCTTGTACATTCGTGGTGAGTACCAAGCCGTCTTTGGAGACTACTGTTCTGGACCATCCCTTTTCAGGATTCAGTGCAAATCACTGTACTGAACATTCCTTCTTGCATCTGTAGGACATGCTGTCTACATGGTACAATTGTGCTTTAGCTCCAGTATAATGAGGTCATTAAGAGCATAGGTGTTGATGTCAGACAGGTTCAAATCCAGCTCTACCCCCTACAACCTGTCCGACCTTGATCATGTTGCTCAACCCTCTGAACCTCAGGTTTTTCACTGGCGATATGGAATAATATCTGTCCCATAGGGTTTTTCATGAGGATTAAATGTTCAATGGAACGTTATTAATAATATGACATTAGATTAACCCTCTTTTGAGTTTAATGCTGGGTCCTTTAACTGGAGTTAGTCTTCTTACATGTGCTCAGCACCCATTTCCTGAGTCTGTCTTAGGTTGGTTACCCCTATCAAAGGCTACTTTCATCCTTTCTGTTTCGATTCCCTTTAGTTTCTGTATTGGTTCCCCAGGGATGTGGTAACAAAGTACCACAAACCGGGTGGCTTACAACAGAAATGTATTCTCTCACAGTTCTGGAGGCTAGAATCTGAAATCAAAGTGTCAGCAGGACCATGTTCTCTCCGAAAGCTCTAGGGGAGGATCTTACCTTGCTTCTTCCAGCTTCTGGTGCCCCAGCGATTCCTTGGCTTGAGACAGCATCACTCCAATCTCAGCCTCCGTGTTCACATGGCCTTCTGTGTGTGTGTGTCCTCTGTGTGTCTCTCTGTGTCCTCTTCTCTTCTTATAAAGACACCAGCCATTGGATTTAGAGCCTATCCTAAATCTAGGATGATTTCATCTCGAGATCTTTAACTAATTACATCTGCAAAGATGTCCTTTTTCTAAGTATGGTCACAGTCGGTGGTTCTGGGTAGACATGACTTTGGGGGGGGACACTATTTAACCCACTACAATCCCTCTTGCAAAACTGCTTTTCTTACAAGTTCTGGGAGTCTCCTGCCTTTGTGTGAATGTTCATGTGTCAGAGTTCAGGGCGTTGAGGATGTAAGGGCCAGGAGACCACAGCCGACATGAAAACCAGCAGTCTTGACTTGTCTAACCCCATCCCCTAGCTGTTAGCATCGCTCCTTTTCACAAGGAAGAAAAATCGCCATCAATTTGTGTTTCTTATTGCTATTTGGTGTATAATACTGTGGCCCTTACAGTGCTGCCCATTGGAGGCTTTCGGCATTTTCTGAAGAAAAAGAAAGTGCTGTTTGCTATCATTCGGCAGTGTTTGTGTTCGCAGTGTCTCTCCCATTAGACAATTCCAATTTAAAATACAGATTAGCCCTGACAAAACTGACCCAAGCTGGCTTTTGTCTTTGATGGTTTCAATTTCAGGCTTCTCCATCACAAATGATTATAATATGACAGGATTTTGACAGAATGGGGGTAGGAGTTTTGAATCCTTACCTGCAATTTCCAGCTCGAGGGGATAATAGCAGAGAGAAAAACAACACTAACTGAGGTGTAGGATATGAAAACATGCTGAATTTCCCCCTCAGAGTTTTATGCTCCCAGGCATTCAACAAGTCACTTTCCCTGTTGAACAAATAAGCTCTCTTGAACCAAATTACTAGCCTTACAAAACCTATCACATCTCTCCTTTTGCTTTGAGGGTGAGGAAGCTTGGGGGGAACAATGATCAATTTCAGTAACTATTAGCCTAGGTATTTATTATATCCAGACCTTGTCTCTGTGTGGCTTTTTGTTCTGTTTCTATTGGAAGGCTTTATGGCATGTATGATTTTATGTCCTTCCTGGACATTTCCTCCTTCGCTGGCTTCTGTGACACTACTCTCACTTTCTGCTCTCTGCCCACTTCTTCTGCTTCCTTCTCCCCCACCTCCTCTGCCCACCTTTCTTTTTTTCTTTTTTTGGTGAGGAAGATTGGCCCTGAGCTAACATCTGTTGCCAATCTTCCTCTTTTTGCTTGAGGAAGATTGTCAATGAGCTAACATCTGTGCCCATCTTCCTCTATTTTGTATGTGGGATACCACCACAGCATGGCTTGATGAGCAGCGTGTATGTCCGTGCCCAGGATCCGAACCCACAGACCCTGGGCTGCTGAAGTGGAGCACATGAACTTAACCGCTATGTCACTGGGCCGGCTCCTCTGCCACCTTTTAAGTGCTGGGGTTTCTCAGGATGCCTGCTCTTTTGTCTCTCTGGACATGCAGCCCTTGGATTTCTTGTACACTGAAGATTTTAATTGCTCTCTGGGTACTGATGACTCCCAGATCAGTATCTGCAGCTCCAGCCTTTTCTTGAGTTCGATTCAGATTCATATCCATCAATTGCTTGTTAGGCGAATAGTGTTTGTGTGTGTCTCTCAAGTCCCTTATACTCAGTGACTCTAAATTTGAGCTCATCACCTTTCTCTCCAAGACTTGCCCTCTGCTCTGCTGCCACTGTCGCCAGCCTAGGGGACAGTTCAGGCAATGGCCCAGTGTCTCAAGTAGGAAACTGCGAGTTATCTAGGACTCTTGTCTAGTCCTCACCCGCACATTCAATGTCCATATCCTGTTGATCTCCCTCCTAAGCATTTCTGGAATCTCTCTCTCTCCCATCATTTCTGCTAGCTCTGAATGTCAGACCTGGAATAAGATGATAACTCTCATCTTAGCTGTTCCCTTATCTTCCTAACTGGTCTATAACATTTTTCAAACCTTTCTATGGTTTCCCACTGCTTACAGAATGAACCCGAGACTCACCAACATGAAACAAAAGGCCTTCCATGACTTGTTCCTGCCCATCTCAGTCCCGTTCCTCATTTTACACCTTCATAGCTGCTAGCCATTTGACATGGGAGCCCATACTGTTTCATGCTTCCATAGCCTTGCTGATGCTGTTCTGTCTGCCTGGAACGCCTCTGCCACATTTCTTTGCTAATTCTTACACAACCTTAACTCAGCTCAGGTATTATTCACTCAACAAATATTTATTGAGCACCAAGTATGTGCCAGACAGTTTTGGGGTCCCAGTGTTGAGCAGGCAGAGAGGGACTCTGTCTTCATGGAGTTTAATTCTAATGGCTGTTACTAAACTACAATGTGCTGAGGGCTTCTCTCTCTGCCTGTTCTCCCCAGTAGCCTGTCCACACTCCATCATTACCCTTGACCTGTTAGGCTGAAATAACCATCTGGTGTCCCTTCCCTAATGTACTGTAAATTTCTTGAGGGTAGAGGTCAGGTCATATTCATCTCAGCCTTCTTTGTGTGGAACAGTGCTTAGCTCTTGGTAAATTCTCACTATGTTTCCCCTGTTGAACTCAACTATCAGTTACAAATAAATGACTCCATGTCTCAGCTTAAACTTCACATTCTCCAGGACAGGGCCTCCATCCCCACAATATGCCTCTAGAATATCCTGTACTATTTCTTCCCAGAATTTTGCACAGTTGTAACTAGTTATTTTTTCAACTATTACATTATTTGTTTAAATTTGGTTTTCTGCTCTAAGTTGTAAATTCCACGAGGTTAATGGTATAGCCAACAGAGTGCATGGCCTGTAATAAATACTCAATAAATATTTGTTAACTGACAGACTGACACATTTTCTTGATGGATAACAATGTTGAATGCATTGCTGGGGTCAACAGAAAACAGATCCAATTGCCTACCAGTCTGATGCCTCACTCTACCCATCTATAAAATGGAGATGTTCCTGTGGGATAATGTTGGATAGCAGATGAGTGAGCTTTAGATAAAACCATATCAAAACAAATATACATAAATAAATTATACAAAAAAGGAAAGATCGGATTAAACACATCAAGGGAAATTCCACATGAGCTTTGAAATATCTATTTCAGGATGTGCTATTTTATTCTCCCACAGGATATATAAACGTTTTCTTCTCTTTTTCCTTCCCAGCACCTGAGACAGCAATTATTGAGCAAAATGGAGTTGAATCAGAACAGGTAAAATTTTTTGTGAAGTATTTGAAGTATATGACTTAGATTTTAAAAATCCCACAGTAGAGGTTTGCAGAAATGAACTAGGGAGGGCAGATATATCTAAGTGGCAAAATGCATCTCAGCTGTTATGAAATAGCTAAGGAATTTGTAGACTTGTACTCTTGGTAGAAGTAACATCAATATTGTTACTTCTGTATATGTAGATGCTTTGAAAAGAAAAAGAAAAAAATACAAAAACATGGAAAATCATATATGTTCCCTCCGTCTGGCCAGGATTAGTGACATCCTGCAGAATCAACACCTGCCACGAGCATTCCCCTTATTTTCTGAGAATACCCTTCATTAATGTTTATTATTACAAAAGTGATTCAGGCTGCTTTAAGTAAAAATTTCAGGCAGTATAGACATCTGTAAAGGAAAAGTAAAGGTCTCCTATCCCTTCTTTCTTTTTGCTCTTCTCTCTCCTCCGAGAGAGATTGTTGTCCTGTCCTTGCTGCTGGGTTGGACAATGGGACAGGAAGGCGGGGAAGGGAGCCTGGCCCGGGCGATGCGCGATGGCGTAGCCGCCACAAGAACTACGTGCTGCCCGCCAAACAATGCTTCTCAAACTTATTTGGTGTCAGGACCCCTTTATACTCATAAAAATTAAAACTGAGAAGTTAAAAAGAATTCATTAAATACGAATTCATTTAAAAACAAGAACAACAAATCCATTACATGTAAACATAACATTTTAATGAAAAATAACTATATTTTCCCAAATGAAAAAAATATTAGTGAGAAAAGGGGCATCGCTTTACATTTTCGCAAACCTCCTTAATGTCTGGCTTAATAGGAGACAGAGAGATTCTTGAATCAGCTTACATACTCCATCGTTAGAGTGATGATATTATCACATCACAAGTCACGTCACCTCTGGGAAACCCACTGTACATCTCATGAGAGAATGACAGTGAAAATGGCAAAGAATGACTCTTGGAAACCATTTTGATCTCATGGGTCCCCTGGCTACACTTTGAGAACCGTTGCTGTAGAAAATTTGAAATTGAGTTCTGTTTTTTGGTTGATCTTGTTGCCTCCAGAAGTCTAAGTCAGCCATGAGAGGAGCTGCATAGGGCTAGGGAGAGCTCAAAGCATTCGGGCAATGGCCGGCAAAGAGATTTGAGTGGAGAACACAGCTCACAGCACAGTTATTTTTATCTTCCGACCCTTGAGCCCCACAGCCCATAGGCCTGATGTGTAAGACTGAGGAAATTTGGGGGGTCTGGTAAAGGGTTTCAGACCTTCAGAGATTTTTTAAAAAGTTCTGATTTGTGAGGCTGGCTTCGTTTTGATCTTGAGACACATTGGGCAAAAGGTGGGGAGATGCAGTGAAACTGCTGATGATTGGGAGGTATGATTGGGATGGGAATCTCATGCAAGGATGACATTCAGAAATGAGTGGCCAACTGCCTTCCTTGTGTCTCACAGATAAAAATGGCTGACAACTTCGAACTGCTGATGATCATTGCTCCCTCCCTGGGGTTTGTGCTGTTGGCATTGCTTGTGGCATTTTTCCTTCGAGGTAAGGAGGGCAGGACCACGTGGGATGGAGACCTTCAGAACTACAGAGACTTCAGGAGGATCCGGGATTGGATTGATTCTGCTTCCTGCCCCTTTCTCTGTTCCCCAGAGTCCCATTTCTATCATTGTCCCCGTCCCAATAGAGGAGGCCACAGGTCAACTCATTCTCCCTAAGATGCCCCAGGCTTCATGTATCATCCTCCTAATAGAATTTATATTTTGGAAAAGAAAAAAAAATAAGAGCACCTTCATATTTGGACACTTATTCTGTGGCAGTCCTGATGCTATACACTTGCCTTGCCTAACTCATTTCAACCTCATTACTGCTTAAGTGGAAAGTACCATTATTATCACCGTCTTGGGGTGGAGGAAACCCTGGCCCAGCCTCCTCCTCTGCCTGAGATTGCCCCAGGAAGAAAGCCATGAATGATCTCAGTCTTTGTGTTTGTTACCTTAAAGCAAGATTTATTAACCTAGGATCCACAGATAGACCTCAGGGGACACGTGAATCCTTGAAATCACATGCAAAAGTGCTTGTAGTTTATATCTGCATTTTTCAAGGGGCAGTGTCCATAGTTGTCATTAGATTCTCTAGCTGGTCCGTGACCTTGCACCCCACCTCTCTGCCTTCAAAAAGTTTTAAAACACTACAAAAAGGAGTCATGGAGGCCAGCCCAATGGTGTAGTGGTTAAGTTTGCCTGCTCTGCTTCGGTGACCCAGGGTTCGCAGGTTCGGATCCTGGGCGCGGACCTACGCACCACTTATTAAGCCATGCTATGGCAGGTGTCCCACATATAAAGTAGAGGAAGATGGGCACGGACGTTAGCACAGGGCTGATCTTCCTCAGCAAAAAGAGGAGGATAGATAACAGATGTTAGCTCAGAGCCGGTCTTCCTCAGCAAAAAGAGGAGGATAGATAACAGATGTTAGCTCAGAGCCGGTCTTCCTCAGCAAAAAGAGGAGGATAGATAACAGATGTTAGCTCAGAGCTAATCTTCCTCACAAAAAAAAAAAAGGAGTCACAACACAGGGTTTATAGTTTTCATACAAAGTGTAGGCATATGGCACCTAGTCCTATTGTAAAATAAAAAAAAAAAGTTGTTCTGCAGTTATTAACAGAAACTATTTCAAAGCAGTAAGTGAGGAGAGAAGACTAGTAACCATCTCAGCCTGTTTGATGTGAAACTTGTGTATTTTAACACCTGTCCCTAATAAACACTGCAAAAGGAAATTTGGGACTTAGTGGAAGCCTGCCATCAGCCCTCATACAAAGGCGTGTCACAGTTTTGAAAATTATGGGTCTGTCTCATAGGAAGTGTTTTAAATCCTAGTGAGTCCTTGAATTCTGGGTGGGCAAACGAGTCAAGAATGAAGCAGCTAAACACCATTGCCCAAAGGAACAACTTTGTAATTGATGGGCACTGCCTTGGGGTCGAAAGAATCAGTCATTTGACCCGGGAAACAAATGGCTTTCCCTGCCAAAGCCAGTCCCTACCTTCTCCCCTTTGGACCACCTCTGCTCTTCGTAAGGTAGCTTTGCACTTCCCCAGCACTTCACGTGTTCTAGCTACTCTGCTTATAACGTGGCTTTGTCTTTTCAGGGAAAGTCATGAAAACCAATTGTTTCCAGAAACACACAAGGTAATTTATCTTGCATGACTGATTGTTGTAATGATTGTACAAGCTGTTACAAATGATTAGATACTACTCAGTGGTTTAATGACTTGTGCTTGTGTTCTGATTGAATACAGGGTTGGAGAAACGTGCCATTGGAGGTGAAAAGGATGTGGGGATTTAGTTCACGTTAACCTCTGTCTTGATTAACACTGTGTTGTGTTTGTCCAAAATGCAAATACAAAGGCAGGTTGTATGAATAGAAGTATGGCATGCAAAAGAAGGTGATAAGTCACTCTACTCAGTGCTTGAAATTCTTTGTTCAACTCCGGGCAACTCACTTTAAAAAGACATTTTAAACTGGAGTTCTTGGAGAGGAGAGTTGACAGTTTGGAAAACAAAAACACATGTAGAATCTTGTTCCTCAGATTTGGTTCCTCTGCCCACTTAGACCATGGGAGCAGTTCTTGTTTTTTTTTTTTTTTTCTTTTTGTGAGGAAGATCAGCCCTGAGCTAACATCTATGCCAATCCTCCTCTTTTTGCCGAGGAAGACTGGGCCTGGGCTAACATCTGTGCCCATCTTCCTCTACTTTATATGGGATGCCACCACAGCATGGCCTGACAAGCCGTGCATCGGTGCGCAGCCGGCATCCGAACCCGGGCCGCCAGCAGCGGAGTGCGCGCACTTAACCGCTACGCCATGGGGCCGGCCCCTGTTTTGTTTTTTTAAAATAGTTTGAAGAGTCTCTGTAAAGGGATTTTGGATATCCATCCTGTTCTATAGCTTTTTGGGAAGGAAATGAAAAGATTTGGTATAAACTGTGATGAAGACCTTGCCAAATCAATACCACAATATCTCTTAATAAATAAATATTAACGACTACAGAAACTGAGGCTTAGCAAGGTGACTTTCCAAGGTCATACTTGGAGGTCCTTTTGGTAAATAAACACATTTAGATTATGATTTTATATTTTGCTAATAAGAAACTTTTAATTCCCTTATTAGAATAGGTTGGCAAAGCCCCTTATCACTTGTGGCCTCAGTTTTCCTATCTGTGAAATGAGCCCCTTGGACTGGATGGACTGAGCCCTTTTACCTCTAACAGCCTTGGTTCGTTATGTTGTAATTCAGCAGCCTCCATTTATTTCTGATCTCCTTGTCTCCCATTATCAGCCTCTCTCTTCTTTTTATAGGCTCAACAATGCTGGAGAATGTAAAAATGTCCTCGATGACATGCAGCATGCAAGAGAAGATGAGGAGGGTCTTTTCACACTCTAACATGCTACTTTTTCTTGGGATTGAGGATTGGCACATAATGTGTGAATTGTCAAAATAAGTCCTGGAATGTTTTGATTTTATTTTTTTTTTAAAGCCTCATCTGTGCCATTGGTGTCGTTGATCCAGCGTTGCTTTAGTTTCACAAGTGAAAGGTACTTTAGGGACCACACTTTCTCTGCCCCGTGCTTTACTCTTCTCTGTAGCACCACTGCTAAGTGATCTTCCACACTATGCTTGAGCACTTTCACTGATCATGAGCTCACTACCACACCCATGGGAGTCCATTCAATCTCAGGGAAGTTTTGAGACTTAGAAATATTTAAAACAATGTCTGTCTTCACATAGCATCTGCCTGTGGGTCCTAGATGAACTCATTGTACTTACACAAAACATGTCTAATCTCTCTTCTACCTGGCAGTGCTTCAGATGCTGGAAGGAGAACCTCAGGTCTCTCCAAATTGCCTTACCTCTGGGACATGATTTCTGGTCCCTACTCTGCCCTACTTGCCTTCACCTTGTATGCATTTGTATCTTTCCTTTTATGCTCAACATTCAGAGTTCAGTGCTCCATTCTACGTATGGTATGTGCAGCCCTGGGTCTAAGCTTCATCAATAATGCAGGAAATAACGTGAAATTGCACAATAATTTTGGCTCAGCTCTAAAACTCCTAAGTTTTCTGTTATTTTCTGTTCACATTTGAATGTCTTTAGAGGTGACCATAGTGTCACATCTTAATTTTTGCATGGGGAATTTAATTTTGGAAACAACCAAGATTCCATCAGAGCAAAATGTGATGAATGATGTGGACATTCAACCAGAGCCAGCGCATGGATGGGACAGTAAGGTGGTCCAGATTAGCTTCTCTAAATACACTTCATGGAAATTTGATCCTTAAAAAGAATGGGTTTGTTTAAAAACTTTAATAGCTAGCAGCATGAAGAACCTGGGAGACAGATTAAAGCAGACAGTTGAATGAATGAATGGAAAGAGTGAGAAAGGCCTCTGGTTGGGCAGAAATGTGGAAAGTCAACCAGATCTGAAAGAAATTTCCCTGAAATACATCCTAGTATGTTTAGGGCAATAGCAGCATTAATGAAATAAGCACAAAGTCTTTCAAGGTAACCACCTTTTGTATTTCTACTCTCTTGGTATTACCTTTAAGAGAGGAAAATAATCAGTCTTGATTGTATCATGCAGTCAAGGCTGTACTTGACTGGTACTTGCATGGATCCAGCAGTTAATAAAAAAATCCTCCTCTCACCCAAGCACTTGGAAAACAACTTGCCCAGAGCAGCATGCCTTCTGGCTCATTCTTTTGGTGCTGAGCAGAGTGGCAAATTTGGCCTAAGTGAAGGAAGCAGCTAGCAGCCTGTGGGTAGCTTTTTTTTTTTGGCTTGACTTGCTCCTCTACATTAGCTTAAGACACTGGAAATGATTTTTTCTAGTGTGCTAAACTCAAGTTTAGAAACTGAGGGGTAAAATGAATCTAGAATCATGTTCAGGGCCTCAGTTTCCCCATCCGGAAAATGAGTGGGACTAGATGACCTTGTATAGATAGTCAGGTTCTAATACTTTGTGATTCGATGATACACCCCATCCTAACTTAGTTCATGCTCCCTTGTCATCTTCCAGAACCACCAGCACCATCAATACCACCACCAACTTAGGTCTGACTAGAAAAAGAAGATGGCAAATACTTCCTAAACAGAACATTTAAGCTCAATGAATACCTTTCTGTTTTGCAAGGGGGCCATCTTCAATCTTTTCCCAAGTATATTTCTGAAACTCCTTGGTCAGACTAAGAAACATTTAAATAAGGAATCATACTATTTAAAACTGGTAATGGCCTCCAGGAGCCTCTAGCCTAGTAGTACTCAATCTTAGCTGAACACTGCAGTTAACTGGGGAGTTTTAAAAAATGCCGATTCCCGAGTCCCAGCTTTAAGAGATTCTTCTGTAATTGGTCTGGGGTGTGGCCTGGGCATCTGAATTTTAAAAAAATGCCCCGAGTGGTTCTAATGTGCAGCCAGGACTAAGAACCATTGCTCTAGCTCAGTGGTTCTCAAACTATGCACTTCAGATCAGCAGCCTCAACATCACCTGGAACTTGTTAGACATACAAATTCTTGTCCCCACCCCATACCTGCTGAATCAGAAACTCTGGGGTGGTGTGGGGGGAGCCCAGCGATCCGTTTTTTAACAAGCGCTCAGGTGATTCTGATGTTTGTTAGAGTTGAGAACTATTGCAGCATAAAAATCCCTAACTTGGGGATTGAGATTTCAAGAAAAGATTCCTCCTTAACCAGGGCTCTGTGGGGGTGGGCGTGGCTACACGGAGCCCGGAGAGTTTCCAGGAGCAGCAGGCGGCAAAGGTCCGGGTGGAGGTCCTTGTCAGAGACCTCATTTAAGCTGGCATTACTTTCTGCCTGGACTCCTGCAGCAGTTTCCTCACTGTACTCACCACCTTCACTCCTCTCCCTCTCCAATTTGTTCTTCATTCTGTGGCAGAGGTATCATTTCTAAATGCATATCTGAGATTCCTGTCTCCTGACTTGTACCCACTTAGGGTCTGCCCAAGGCTGGGGTGGCAAACGATGACTTCAGAGGCCAGGCAGCTGATACAGATGAGTGAGGCAATGGGACGTGATGTGGCCTGTAACAAAGTGGAATGTGTGTGTCCACTTAAAGGCATTAACATTCAGTGTTAGTTAAAATAACGTCCTGGGTAAGCTACATATGGCCATGGGCTAGAATAAGGCAACCAGTCTGAGACTCAAAGGTCCAGGGTGTGGGTTTTACCAAATGATGAATTAATAAATATATAATTCTTATACTGAGACTCCTTGACCAGAGGAGGTCGTTGGAGTAGTTGTTCCCCACTTTCCCTCTCTGTGCAATCAGGATGCTATCTACAAACAACTTCCTGGTATCTGTCGTGTGCAGGAGACCAGAAGAGAGAATCACTTCCCTTTAAGGATCTTAAAAATCTAAATGAGACAAAACACATGGGAAATGCAATAGAATGGAATCAGTGTTGTTTTCCCATTGCCACAAGGAAGGGCTTTGATGGACATGTGGCTCTTATAGCTGGTGTTTATGTGGTGGGTCCACAATCAAACCTTGAGTATTTAGAGCAACCTAATTCTGCAACCTTGATGTTGGCCTTTCTAGGGTAAACGAAAGAGATCACATCCAATCCTTGAGCAGCATTTGCTATGTTCTAGGTACTCTACTAAGTGTTTCAAGGCAATTTCTCATTGAATCTTCACAGCAGCTCAGTGAAACAGGTATATTATTTCTGCTTTCAGAGCTGAGAAAACAGAGTCAGAGATAGGAGGGGAAGGAACTTGCCCAGGGTGACATAGTCTAACCCCCTGTGACAGAGCCGGATCTTGAACCAGGCTGGAAGGACCTCACACTCTTAACCACTACCCTGTCTTTCACAGTGAGGGCCCTAATTTAAGATTTCAAGCATATGGAACTGCAGCATTGACCTGTGTTGGTCCCAAATGGATTTTAGTTTACTCAGATCCATGGAAACCTGAGTGTTTCGATGGTTCTCCAATCCCAACCCCTTTATAGCTCAATCTTCCCTTGTCCCCACATTATTTACTCAGCATCTTATTTACATTTGCAGAGGAAGCTGCAGGAGGAGAACCTGGCAGGAGCCTTAATGAAGCCAGGTGGGACACATTTAAATGGGACTGTGTTGAACTAACTCATGAAGAACTGAAGCCAGCTGTCAGCGGGCTTAATGAAAGGTTAACGGGAATCCGGCAATGGGTGGCTGGGGAGACTCTTTGTCTCTCTAAAGAAAACAAAAAGTTGAGAAGTGGGCTCCCTGGGTGGAGGCAAGAGCAGACGGAGGAAGGCACTTGTAACCAAAAGGCTGGGTCTCAAAATAGAGTTGTATTCAGATTTGTAAGCATGTTACAGTCTTAAAGAAAAAAAAAAAGCACCCTGAGTTCTCAGCTCTCTGAGCATCAAAGGACAGCGAAGTGTTCCCGAATAAGATGAATGCTAACACTGTTATGAAGGAGATTGGGGAGCGCTGGAGATGTCTGCTCACAGAACAGAAGGTGGGTTCACTTTCTAAGCGAGCTAACAACGTTCCGTTCTGCAGTTGTGTGCTTTATCCACGTTGCATATGGAGTAGGGAGGTGGGGGAGCAGGAAAGACCCTTACACATCCTTCCATTCAACTCCCATTTTTTAGCTGATGAAACTCAGGCCCAGGCAGGAGGAATGAGTTACCCCAGGCTACACAATAAACCAGTGCCAGAGCAGAGACCTAAACCACGTACCCTAGACTTACCTCTGTGGCCACGTCGTAAACTTGATCTTGCATTTTTCTAAGTCCTCCTGGATCTGCTGATTATTTACCCTTCTGAAGTCACATTTATTAAGTTCTTGTTGGTGCATGCAACTCAGCATTTCTTCTCCTTGAGCCATCTTTCCCAGAACCCCTCTGACCCCTGACTGCTGCTCCCAGAAAGAGGAATTGGAATGTGGAAGTGCAAATCTTGGCTGTTCTGTTGCTCTCTTAAGAACATCACCGTAACTAGGGGGACCAACTTGTCCCGGTTTCAAAACTCTAAGTCCTGCCTGCGGGAACCCCCTTGGTCCCCGGCAAACTAGAATGGTTTGTCAACCTAAGTCCATAGCTAAACTAGAGATCAAAAACAACACCCCTCTGAGTTCTTTCATTCACAGCCCCTGCTCTTGACTTGATTGCAGTCATCATTTTATTCTGTGACTTTGCCATTGGACCCAAGTGGAATTTAATTTGTTCAGATCCAGCATTAGAATCAACTACTTCATCTAGATTCTAGAACCTTGCTATGCAACATGTGGGGCTCAGACCACCAGAATTGTCGTTATCTGGGGGCTTGTTAGAAATGCAGAATGTCAGTCCTGCAGAATCAGAATCTGCATTTGAACAAAGTCTCTGTGTGATTCATGTGCACAATAAAGATTAAGTACTCATCTAAAGCATTGATTTTCAAACAATGCACCTACACTTTGAAATCACATGGGGAATTTAAAAAATACTGGTGCTTGACTCCCCTCTGAGGTCTTGATTTAACTGGC